TTGTTGGGAGCATGGGAGGGTGGTGAGGCTCCGGCCAGCTCAGCTGACGGAATAGCCTGGGGGTCACCCTCTGTCCCCAGCTCACCATCAAAGCGCTGCACGTGGTCCCCATGACCAACCCCAGTGCACCCGAGTGTTGTCTCCGGGTCTCGCTGATGCCCCTGCGGCTCAATGTGGACCAGGTGAGTGGCTGGGTGGGGGCAGGCTGACGTGAGCCCCCTGCTGCCGAGCCCCTGAGCCCAACCTGTGCCCCACCCTTTGGCTCCACAGGACGCTCTGCTCTTCCTCAAGGACTACTTTACCAGCCTAGCGGCGGGCATCAACCCCATGGTCCCGGCAGAGACCTCGGCCGAGGGTGAGAGGCTGGGCCTGGTAGGGGAGGGTCCTGGTCTCCTCTGCCATGCCTCCCTGGGCCCACCCCTGGTCTGTCTCGCCTGCAGCGCACCCTGAGACCCGAGCCCAGGGGAGCAGCCCCCAGGAAGGGGAGCCTGAGGGCGTGGAGACCAGCGACACCCAGGAGGCCGCAGGTGGTGGCCAAGGCGCTTCCTCTGAGCAGCAGCCCATCTACTTCCGGTGAGGCCTGGGCTGGGCCTGGGCGGGCTGCACCCGGCCAGGTCAGCGACTAAAGGGCCCTTGCTCCTTATCCCCAGGGAGTTTCGATTCACATCTGAGGTGCCCATCTGGCTGGATTACCACGGCAAGCACATGAGCATGGACCAGGTGGTGAGTGGGGCCGTCGGGCGCCATGGCTGAGGGGGTCCCCGCTCTGCTCAGGTGTGGCCTGTTCTTTGGGGCCCAGGAGGCCAGGGCTTGCATCCAGGCTCCATCAGCCACTGAGTCGGCCTCCTGTGGGCTGGGCAGGTCCCTATGCCCCATCGTGTAAACCCGAACCCCTTCTCCCTCCCCAGGGCACGTTCACTGGCCTCCTCGTCGGCCTGGCCCAGCTCAACTGCTCTGAGCTGAAGCTAAAGCGACTCTGTTGCCGGCACGGGTGAGCCCGCCTCGCGCTCTAGCACCCCCAGCCTCTCTCCGGGGCCCTGATAGCCCCTTTGCTCTGTCCCTGACTGGCCGTGTGGCCTTGGCCAGGAGATCAACCTTCTGGGACCTCAGTTTCTCCTCTGTAAAATGGGTGCAGTAGCCCCCCACCCCCGACACAGGGCTGGGTGGGAACATGGGTAGTTGAGGTGCCTCAGGTCCTCCTGGCTCTGTGACCCCTCAGTGTCTGGCTCTGCCCCACCTTGCCCTCCTCCTCTCCCTTCCCAGGCTCCTGGGTGTGGACAAGGTGCTGGGCTACGCTCTCAACGAATGGCTGCAGGACATCCGCAAGAACCAGCTGCCCGGCCTGCTGCGGGGAGTGGGCCCCATGCACTCAGTTGTCCAGCTCTGTAAGTGTCTGGAGACGGCCCACACTCTTGGGCACCCTAGACGTTGCCGTTGGTAGTATGTAGGGGAGGCCCTGGAGGAGGAAGGTGGGGGCATTGTAGCCTCGGGCACCTCTGATGACCCCTGTTCCCCAGTCCAAGGGTTCCGGGACCTCCTGTGGCTGCCCATCGAGCAGTACCGGAAGGACGGGCGCCTCATGCGGGGGCTGCAACGGGGGGCAGCTTCCTTTGGCTCGTCGACGGCTTCTGCTGCCCTGGAACTCAGTAACAGGCTGGTGCAGGCGATCCAGGTGAGCGGCACCTGGCTGTGCGGGGCGGAGGGTCTGCCGTGGTGGCCCATGCCGTCCCCAAGGCTCTGCTGATGGCGGATAGCCTAGGCGTATGTAACATTTTCTAAGGAACATTCACAGAGTGGGGAGAGGTGAGCATCTGGCTGGGGCCCACAGCCGGGTTGCCCCAGCCAACTGCGGCCCCCATGCAGGAGGCTGAGTGCCTCCCATCTTTGTAGCCCACTGGGTCTCTGCTCATGGCCAAGTCTTGACAGGAAGGGAAGGGGGCTTTTTGCAGACTGGAAAGTAAGACCAAGACGAGCCCTGGCTCATGCCGGCCCTGCACCTTGCTAGGCCCTGGTGGGCCCCAGGGAGCTGTCCTGTGGGCAGTAGCTCCTGCAGTGGGCCCCGTGGGATGGTGGTTGGATGCGCAGGTGTGGTGGGTGGTCATGGCAGATGAGCGTGCAGAAGCTGGGGATCAGGGTGCTTCCTGTGCCCTGCTGTCCAGCCCATGAGGGCAGGGGCAGGGCTCTAGGGCGGAGGCTGGAGGGATAAGCCAGCATCTGAGGGCCACCCCAGGGCGTGAGCTGGAGTGTGGCACCGTCAGTCAAGGTTGGGTGGGAAGGAGCCACCCTGAGGAGGCACGCAGGCCACCTGCCCTGGCATAAAGCACAGGTGTGGAGGAAGGGCAGAGGGGTCCCCTGGACAAGGGTTTGGGGGTCCATCATGTTGCCCTGTGCACCTCTCCTCACTGGTGTCCCCTGTGCTCCCCAGGCCACAGCCGAGACGGTGTACGACATCCTGTCCCCGGCGGCCCCCATCACCCGCTCCCTGCAGGACAAGCGCTCGGTGCGGAGGCGCAAGGGCCAGCAACCAGCTGACCTCCGGGAGGGTGTGGCCAAGGCCTACGACACTGTTCGAGAGGTAAGGAGGCCCAGCCTGCTCCCCATCTTCCCACACCCACTGTCCACCCGACCGGCACTGACCTCCCCCCTCCACAGGGCCTCCTGGACACGGCCCAGACCTTCTGTGACGTGGCGACTCGGGGTCATGAGCAGAAGGGGCTGACGGGTGCTGTGGGTGGCGTGATCCGCCAGTTGCCCCCAACGGTGGTGAGGCCCCTCATCCTGGCCACGGAGGCCACGTCCAACCTTCTCGGGGGGATGCGCAACCAGATCCTCCCCGACGCACACAAGGACCACACTCAGAAGTGGCGGTCGGAGGCCCAGGACTGAGCACCAGGTGCCAGACTCCCGGGTGCTGCCCGCCCAGCAGGCCCAGCCAGCCAGTGGCACCTCGGGTCCCGTGCCTCCCGAGAGCGTGGACAGCCTGGCAGGCCGGGCCCTCAGGAAGGATCGGAAGGACCCTGCGCCTGGCCTGCCTGCTGCGTCGCCGTGGGAGTGGGTTCCTGCCTGGGCCTCGGCCCTGTCTCTGCACTTTTCTCTGGGGAGAAAGGACACTGCCCCACCACCAGGACCCACATCACCACCCGGGCCCACACGGCTGCCTGGGCCCAGGACGGAGGCTCTTGGACCCTTGGACCCCAACCCCACTCAGCCAAGTGTCTTTCTATGTCTCTGGGGACGTGGGGGGAAAGACGCCGTGTGGTTCAATGTATGATTTTTAATCGCCGGAGCGTGTGGGTCAGTGTCTGCATGACGTGGAATAAACTGCCCGCCGCCGGCCCCTTGTTCTGCCTACCTGCACTGTCCCGGCCTCAGCCTTGGCCTTGGCTGGCACCCAGATTCCCACCTCTGCACCCAGCACCTCCCCTGTCACCGCCAGGGTTCGCCACCCCTCCACCCACCCCACCCAGTGGATCAGAGTTGCTGCCCTGGGCTCCTCACCACCCTCGCAGGGGCCTGCCACCCTGGCCCCTCTCACGTGGCAGGAGCTGAGTGGAGCCGGGGCGGCCCTTGGAGGCCTCCTTGCCCAGAGTACGTCCTTGGCTCCATCCCTGCAAGAGCCCAGCGTCCGGCCTTACCTGGGGCCAGGTGTGAGGGGCGGCTGAGGGTGCTGGGCCGAGCACAGGGCTGCAGGAGGCTTAGGCCCTGCCCTGGGACCCGAGGCTGTGCCTCTGGCCTCAGCCTCAGCTCCTTCCTGATCCTCCTTGCCCGACGTACAAGGACCGGGGGCTCAGTTAAGGCCCTTCCTGGAAGGCTGGCCTCTGGAGGCTGCTCCCCCATCCCCAGTGGCCGGAGCCTCTGTCCTGGGTCCCAGCTACAGGGCGCTGGAGGGCAGGGCCACGGGCGGCAGCGGAGAAACTCGGGGTCAGGAAAGTGACCCTTGTCCGCACCCCCCACACACAACTTGTTTCTTGAGAACAAGGAAGAGGGCTGCTCCGCTCGCCCCGCCCTGCCCACTCCCCAGTAGCGCTGCGCTGAGGTAGGTGGGGAAACTGAGGCACAGGTTTAGAGCACCTCACCTCACTAGGGCCATCTGTAGACCCCTCTGGTTCGCAAGTGCCCCCAGCTCCCCTTTGTCCCTGGTGCCCCCTTCGCAGTGAGGGAGACATGGCACCACGTGAACAGGGTGAAAGCTGGGTCCTGGTGGGCCCGGGATCCTCGCTGGGCATGGACACCTGGGGCAGAGGCCGAGCGGGCAGAGGGTGCCAGGAGGGCGATGGGCTGTGGGCTGGTGCCAACGGAAGGGCAGATGGGCCTGGCCTGATGCTTCCTGGCGCTGCCCCCCTGCCCGGGCACAGTCCAGGGTGTGCTGCCCTTCGAACTGCACTGTGATCCGTATTGACAGGCGGCAGGATAATCATTAACTGCCACCAGGGCTGGGCCAACGGCTCAAAAGGCGCTGGGCCCACTTCCTCCTGTGCCTCCAGGGCCAGCCCGCACCCAGGTAAGAGCCTGCAGCCCCTCTGCCCCGGGCACTCAGCCCACCCTCTGCAGGGTCCTAGCCCCTCGAGGAAGAAAGGAAGCGACCTAGGCAATGGCTAGTGATCTCAACTCCCGTCCACCCTTGGGCCTCAGCGTCCACCTTGGGGCGAGGGAGCGGGACCCTGGTGGCGGTGGCATCCCCGTGATGCTGCCGCCGGTTGGGGCCCTCGGTCGTGCCCCTGCGTCCTCGGGAGGGCATGCTGGGCTGCTGGGAGGGGGTACCTAGCTCTGGTGTGTTCATCACAGGCCTACCTTCCCAGGCAGAGGCCTCCAGCCTGGGGTCCCCCAGCCCACTTGACCGCATCCTGGGAGACGCCACTTGAGGGAGGTTGCCATGCAGGACAGACCTGGAGGCCCCGCTCTGTGACCTTGGGCCGCCACCTCGGCCTCTCTGGGCCAGTATCCACACAGGGAAACGGGGTGGGGGGTGGCCCGACTCTAAGAGCTCAGAGCCCCAGCTCCTCTTCCTCTCCTTGGGGTCTCTGAACTATCCCCTCAGCAGCAACCTGTCACTCAAGCCTGGTGGTCCAGAGCCGGCCTGGGGGGATGAGAAAACACTGCAGAGGAAAGGTCTGGGGGCCGGGGCCAGTGCAGGGACCCCAACCGGCAGCTCCTTCCTCTCCCTGCAGCAGGGACAGACCCACGGGCTGAAGGGAGGGTGCCCACCAGTCTAGGCCGGGGTGCAGGACCGCTCACAGCCCTAAAGCATATGAGGAACCAGCTGCGGCCACATGGTCAAGGTCACCCAGCTCCGGGGCCACCGAGGTGCTAAGTGTTTTTTTTTTCCAGATGGGTGGTTGCTTACAGCCCTGTTCTTACCATCCTGCCCGCAGGTTTGTGTATCAGCATCTTTTCAAGTTCCCTGCCTCCTCCTTTCCCTCCCGCTCCCCCTTCTCTGCCCCTGTTTGCTCTGTCTCTTTCCACTCTCTCTGTCTCCCCTTCACCCGCCCATCCCCGTGTCTGTCTCCTTTCTACAGGGCCATCTCCTACGGAATCTGGGCATTTGGAGGTCCCTGGGGACGACAGGCCCAGGCATCCCTCGCCCTCTGCCCTGTGGCTGCGGCAGGAAGGGTGGGCAAAGGGCAGAGGAGGGAGGCACAGCAGCCAAACTGGAACTGGGGCCCAGCTCGGGTTGGGAAAGAAACGAGGAAACAAGGAACTTGGGGACAGAGGGTGTGGGTGTCAGGGGGGCAAAGGCTGCGCCGGAGTGGAAGTCGGGGCCACTCCCGGCTTTGTGGGCAGATCTGGGGCTGAGCCTGGACTTCGCCCAGAGAAGGAGTGGGCCCCGCACGATAAGGAGCCTCAATAAAAAGGCCATGGACCCAGGGCCCCGAGGACCCAGGGGCCCAGGTCATGGGTGCGGGGCCCTCCCCAGACCTCAGCCCAAGAAGAGCTGCCTCCAGTGGCTCCCACCCCCTGTAACAGCAACTCCATGTGGAAGTGCCCACTCGTTCCAGTGGGGCTGCTGTTATCTGGGGTGGGGGCCCGTCCCCGTGGAGGCGGAGAGGAGGCTGCGCCCAGCAGACCAGCAGGGACTCCGTGGCTGCGCCCCCAGGCCCAGGATGGCCAAGGGCGGTGGGCGGTCAGCAGGTTGCGGAGACCGAGTGCACAGGGCTCTGACCTATGAATTGACAGCCAGTGATCTTGTCTCCCCTCTGGCTGCCAATTGCATAGGTCACAGGTATGTTCGCCTCAATGCCAGCTGCCGGGACCTGTCGGGGAGGCCGGGCTGGTGTCCAGGGGGCAATGGAGAGTTGCTGGCCCCGTGCAGCACGCGAGGCCCACGGCCCTCCTGTCTCATTCCCACCTTCCCACTCCCCCTCCCTGAGCCTGCCCTGCCCTGGGCCTCACCTGTACTTCCTGCTGCAGCACGGCGTGCCTCTGCGCTTTGCACATGCCGTTCCCTCTGCTTGAAACCCCCTTCCCAGCTCTTTTGCATCTTCCCCCTCTACTAGCCATTCCAAGCTCTGCCTCTGCATGTGCTGCCTGCTGGAAGCCTTCTGAAGCCCGCTGAACCTCGGTGCCTGCCGGCACCCCAGGACCCACTGCTGCCCCTGAGAGCA